CTGAAGCCAAACTACTTGCTAGCAAGCAGCACTATAGAATCACTAGGGTCAAGAAAGAAACAAGGACTTCTCTCACTGTACTCTTGTCCTTTCAAAGCAGATCTGTGTGAAACACATTCAAACATATTGATGAAATGTTGTGGAAAAGGCTGCATTGTCACTGGCTAAGCTACACATTTGCTTTGGACTGTGAATTTGGCACCGTTTAGTGAGACGAAAGAAACACCAGCAGCAGAGTGCGATGCTTGGCTCCCTCCCTGCCTTCAAAACAGTCTAACCTGCCAATTTCTCCTGCGTACCCAAATACTGACTGGATTAATATAAATGTTAATTATAGCATCATTTGAGACAGCAAGCTAGCACTTGTTCCTGTCTTGCACTTTGTGTGTGAGCACCTTTAGCCACCAGCAGGTCCTTTCCTAAGTAAAGGATAAGCCACAGCTGTCACAGGAGCATGAGCCTCAATGATCCCCTAACTGTGTGAGTTTGTGTAATTTATTAGGCTGTTCCCCTGCTTTCCTCCTTTTTTTGTTTTGAAAGGTGTTTTAAGTCTGAAGTAATAGAGACTACACATACTATGAATTTAATTTTATTATGATGAATTTAAATTTGTTATGATTATGATTTGTTATGATACTACAGATGAATGCAGGTGACTAGAGCTACTTAGTGGGATTTTGAGATGTGATTTACACTTAATTGTCACTCTGTTGCTATGCTTGCATTTCCTTAAATGACAATTTTGCTTTAAACTGGGGGAGCTCACAGAAACTATAATCCTTTACTTATAATGAATGTACATACTGACAATACAGACTTCCAGTAGGGCACTGAGGTGCTGGAGTAAGTCCAGAGAAGGGCAGCAGAACTGGTGAAGGGTGAGCTGGGGAGGACAAGAGCTGTGAGGAGCAGCTGAGGGAACTGGGGGTGTTTATCCTGGAGAAAAGGAGGATCAGGGTGACATTATCACTCTCCACAGCTGCCTTCAAGGAGAGTGGGGCCAGGTGGGGATTGGCTTCTTCCCCGAGGCAACCATGACAGGAAGAGAGGACAGGGCCTCAAGCTGGCCAGGGTAGGTTTATATTGGACATTGGGAGTAATTTTTTCACAGAAGGGATGATTAAATATTGAGATGGGCTGCCCAGGGAGGTGGTGGAGTCATCATCCCTGGAGGTGTTCAAGGAAAGACTGGAAGTGGCACTCAGTGCCATGGTCTGTTGACAAGGTGGTGTTCAGTCACAGGTTGGACTTGATGACCTCAGAGTTCTTTCCCAGCCTAATTGATTCTGTTATATTGAAAGTGAGAGTACCAAGCTAAACACCTTCATGTAGGCCACCTGATGCTCATTACCTCCTTTTCCTAGTCTTGAATAATTTACTGATGAAGAAAAGACCTTACAAAAAAAAAGTGAATTAAAAATATATTGTATAAAAGTTTCACTATTTTTTAAATACTCTTAAAGAGTTTTAAGAATTTGTCGAACTGAATTACATAAATGAGACAGAAACCTGTTCAAGCTAGAAAAGATTTAATGATCTTGGAAAGAACCTTTTTTAGTGAAATATCAATATTGAAGTTGTAAAAGAAGAAGACTTTTGTTTTTCCACCCTCAAGGTAACTTATCTAACTGCTATCTGTATTTTTGATGAGTTACCATAATATTTTGTATGTGTTACTTGGGCTGCTTAAAATATCTTCATAGATCTCCAAGTAGATAAATCTCTGCTTTCAATTCCTTGAAATATAATTTCAGGTGTTTGTCGTATTTTAATTGTAGTTGTAGAACCATGAGCACAACAAAAATTTCTAATTGACTTCATTTTTCTTTCATTTTGTAAAGTGCCTTACTGGAGAAAATGGATTCTTAGGTGTAGGGGTTACTTTCAAGCATGAAATGTACTATGTAAGGACATATTCCAGATGTAATATTTAATCCTTTGGCCAAATTATCTTTTGATAAATTAAGAAAATTTTGTAATAAAACTATTTTTAATAAGTGAGAAAACAGTACTTAGTTGTTTTTTTAACAACAAAATTCTCCTATTTTAAGTGTTTGCAAGCAAAGTGTTTGCAACAGTTGTTTAGAATTTTTTTGTTTTAGTGTGTTCTAAGTTTTCTTTTCATCCATTACTGTGAACTTTAATCATATTGAGCTTAGCCCAAAGGTTTCCTGTGTTCCAGCTTTTAAGCTGCCTAACCTGTGTAAATACATTAGGGCTGTTCTAAACCATTAAAAACAAGGATAGATGGATGTGTGCAAAGTTCAAATGTGTTCTGCTGGCTTTTATCATCAGCGTGAATCATACAGCAATTTAGAAGCTTAAAATAGTTCGTTGTTCATAAAATGCAGCAAAATACAGCAAATGAAATCTCTTTAGAGGAGACAGAAATATATATTGAGATTTCAGTTCAGTGTTGTGGGAGGTTTCTTACTGTAACAGATTTTTTTTTCCATTTGTATACTTTTTTTAAATTACTTTTGGTGTATTTGAAGTGATGTGTGTTGAAAGCTGTTGAATCTAAAATCCTTCTTTCATCCTCAAAGATGAAGGAGTATGGAAAGTTTAAAATAAACGCTTCCAGGACAGAGTTAGATCACCATTGCCCAAGTCAGGATTCAGTCTTCCTGCTGAATTAGTGTCTCTCCTCTTTCTTTTATTTTCTGAGACCACCAGTTTAATTTAACATTTTATGCAGAATGAGTGAATAAAAATGCTCAGAAAACTTACAAAGCCCAAAAAATTACATTTGTGGGCCAGATACAGAGCCTCCTGTCTGAAATGTCCTTGACATAGGGTGAGCACTACTGAGCGACAACCAAAACATCATTGTGCCACCAGTGTGATTTTCATACTGAATCCAAAACACAGCTCTGTACTAGAAAGAAAGCTAGCTCTATCCCAGCTGAAACCAGGACACGGATCTTCCCTAAAAGCAGTAGGCACAGCGTGCCAAACCAGCAAAGCTGAGTAGGGGAATACATCAGTTGGGGAAAGTGTATGAAATCTAGTAGGTTCATTGCAATTGTTTGGAAGTTTTTTTCATCTTGAATTATCGTAAGTGTACAGACACAAAACGGTAGGTACTTCTAAAGCAACCATTAATAGGAGGGACGCCATTCTCATCTGTGTTGGGAAAAGTTAATCTCATAGAGGTACAGGGTAGGCAGTGCTTGTATTGACAAGCAGGCTGGATAGCAAAGAGAGCAAGATTCAGTGAGGTGAGGTGACATTTGTGCCAGGACCTGTTCATTTCTGTGTATTCATAAACAACTCAGCAAAGGAGGCAAATGCTGAAGTTTGCAAAACAGGAAGTTTGTCCATGCCCCACTAAACCACGAAGGACCAGCTGAAGAGCTGCAGAAAGTCCTTACAAGGCAAATGCCTGGGTAATAAATCATTAGCAAACAATGCTTGGTGTACGTAAATGTCGAATGCTGCTTGTGGGCAAAATACAACCCTAACATGGCACATAAATTCGTGCACTCCAAATGTTATGACTCAGAGATGAGATTTTGCTGTTGTGACAGGCTGTCCCCAAGAAGGTCAGCTCACTGCTTGTCACAGCTCTGTTCCTCCCCACACCAAAGACATGCAGCAGAGATGGAAAAGTGCAGAGAAGGCCAATAAGGATGAGCAAAGTTTTGGAACAGATCCCTTGAAGGTCTTCCTTCACCTCCAGTTTTCCCAAGCTGTTACTCCTCAGATGCTCCTGCAATCAATGTCCTGAAATAAAGAATCAAGAGCCTCAACAACAAAGGTGTGTCTCCCTTGTGCTCACAGAGACCAGCGGGGTTGCTGTCTGCAGACACTACCTGATGGCCACACGCAGGCTGCATCAAGGCATACCCTAGAGAGAAGAAGCCCTCTGGCATGGCTCATTTTTACACTCTGCCTCAGTGTGTGCAAAGTAGCAAAAATAATTCTGGTTGGGCCTAGTCGCTCTTATACTAATTATTGCATCTGACATAAGCTTTCTGGAGGAACATGATCAAAAACGGTTGATTCAGACAAATACTACACAGCCAGTTTTTAAAAGAAAGCCATAGAAGAATAAGGGTCTTAGAAGTCTTACTTTTCCATGGTTGTTTTGTTTGTCTGCCAACCCTAAGCTAGAGTTTAAAAACATTGTGCCCAGGTGACAATTCCGTTATTGAGCAGGAGTAACAGAAATGTAGTAGAGAATAAGGGCAACTCCTGTTTTATCATGTTCTCCTCCATTCTGGTGTTTATGCTATTTCCACAAAAAATACTGGAAATTGTCTAGTCTGTAGTCAGTTTGAGGGAGTCTTTGGCTCCTCTTCTGCTCTTGGTATGAAATGAGTAGCATTCCAGCTAGAGTAAAAAGCAGCAAAACAAAAACAAACACAGGAAAAAAAACACGAGAAGAAAAATTTCAGAACATTTCAGAACAAGGATGGGCAGCACTCAGTGTTTCGTCTCATAGTTCCTTCTGTAGCCAGGTTTTTCCAGCTGAGGAGGCTTTATCCATCTTCAAGAGCTGCAGCTCCATCCAAGAACACATGCTCTTGGCAGCGAGCTGGTCCCATCTGATGTAGCAAGAGAACTGAAAATAGCTTTCCTAAGGGAGAAACTTCAGGCATGGCTATCTAATGCTGTTAGGTTTTTGAGTATTTATTTTGTGTGATTAGAGAATTAGAGATTAAGGGTGGGGGCATGTGCTGGTTTCTTTTTCTTTCTTCTCAAAAATAAGCAGTTGAACAGTTTAGCCACAAAGAGAAAACAGAGCACAGTGAATTGTATCAAACCTGCCGCTACATATGAAATCCAAATTTTCACTCTAGTTTTGAATTTTTTTGAAAAAAAATCAAGCATTGCCATCAATGTTCAGTCTTTGTTTTGTACTGCTTTGTAATTATAGTTGGCTTATTTTCCAGTTTTCTCATTTATGTTAAGAGCAAAGAGGTACAGCTAACAATAATTTTGAATAAATTGATCAATAAAACCTTAGCAGTTTTGTTGGAAAAAAAAAGAAGAAGAAATTATGGAATTTGGATCACCTTTTTTTCTGACAGGACTATCTGTTTTGAAGGAATTGTAAACAGTGCCTGTTAATTTAAAGCAATCTCACCAGCCACTGCTGTGGGAGGATTACCTGGTCACCCATTCAAGGCAAGACACAATGTCATTTAGAAACAAATCGCTGGGCTGTGCTAGTGCTATAACTTGATTCAGAGTAAGTGGAATACTTTAGTAGTAGTAGTAGTAGTTGTAGTTGTAGTTGTAGTAGTAGTAGTAGTAGTAGTTGTAGAGTGTGTTGTGATAAATGATCATTAGAAAGCTCTTGGTGTCTTCATGTGCAGTGCAGACACAGTGACAGAACCATATAGGTAAAAATGAACCATAGGAGGTAAAAATTACCTCAGTATATGCTTCTTAGAGAGGACCCTACATTTGAGAATATCAAAATATTTTATAGAGATTTAATACAGAATGCCAACAGGTTTCATGAGTATTATTTTCATCTAACTGCTGAAGGAAACAGCAATATAAAGAAACAGTGATTTTTAAGAACTGTGATGATGGAGAATTTGCAGACTGGGCAGAGAAACAACTAAAATCCTAATGGAGAGGCAGGTTTCTCATTTTATTGGTTTTTGCATATTTCTATTATATTAGTAATAAAAGTGATGTTTTTAAAGTATGTGCTGTAGTGATTATAATTTGGTAATATGGAGAACATCTGGTTCTGACTTTTAGTTACTGTAAGGTAAGATCAATAGATTCTTGTGTATGCAAGTCAAATCTGGTATTGGGGTATATCTATATTGGGAAGAGGTGGAAGAAAAATTTTTTCATGTTTCTTTTAATTTTGTGTTTTACTTTACTTTAGATACTATTCCCCTCACTGAAAACTTGAAGTAAAGAGATTTTGGTTTTAATACTGGTAACAGTCTTTATATTTTATTAGCTTTCAGTCTGCTGAGATCAAAAATTCCTATCAAGTATTGACAATTTCACTTATGTACCAGATGTAATTTATGAGAATACTTTAGTTTTTCTGAATCACTTTATTGGTAGAATGATTTAAACATTGCCTGAAACCTGAAAAATATATGCAAAATGTGCAAAGGAAAAAGTATCATGGTATGGATTGTGTTGTTTGGTAATATTGAATTTATGAGAGTGTGCTCTCTGCAGATGCTCACAGCAGAGTGCTTCTTGAAAGATTGTTCCATGCCACATAAGAGAGAAAAAAGACAAAAGGAGAAGAAGTGAATGGTGATAGGCGAGATTGAAAGCTAGTGACACAGTGGACCACTTGTATCAAGAACAATACTCTTTTAGTAATTGTAATGATAATTACATCATTTGACATGTATTAGGTTGAAAGGTAGGACTAACATTGTCTATATTCTGAATTAATAGCAAATACAGAGTTTGCTGATTTTAAGTTGCATATCTATTTAAATACTTGTAAATTTTCACTCTTGCTCTGTTTTGCAGTTGATAGTCCTATGCAGGTAATTTATTAATTTCTTACAGAACATTTACATTTCAAATGATTGAGTATGGCTGTTAGGCACTAATTTCCTTCTACAAGGTGCTGAACACCCTTTACACCCAACAGAACTCAAAATTAAAGGCATGAATTAATTAATTCTGGGATTTATTTTACTTCGTGAATGACAGAAAATTACCAACACTGTTAAGTGGTTCAGAGCAGGTAACATGGGAAGTGGTGATCTGTGCTGATCACAATTCTGACAGATCTGTGGTACTGAACATTTATTTAGTAGAGCATAGAACTGCAACCTAAGAAAATACTGGAAGACCAGAGCAATTAAAAACTGTGAATTGACTATGAAACTTTCTGGAAAAAGGAGGGATAAATGAAGAAAGCTGATACTGCTATTAAAATATTATTTCTGCATTTGAATGTAGAGTATGTTCAAGCAAAAAAAAAAAATTAGGCTTTTTCTTTTCTAGTAGAATAAAGGAATTTCTAGAAACTAGGTATTTTTTATATAAAACAACATGACAAAAAGGCAAAATTTTTATTGATGAGTATATAGAGCTCTGTACATGAATCATGTACATATATGCCACAGTCAGCATAAGAACCCATTCCTATGTTTTGGAAATATGGGATACAAAACATAAATGCATTAATGCCTTCAGAAAAAAGCAAACAAATTCTGTTCAGGGTTAGGAAATACTAAGTTTCTCATCCTGCTGCTTGTATGATTTGACCCTCCTGTCCACTATCACAGGCTGGACAGTCTTGTTTGTACTTTAGGAAGAATTAAGGTGATTGTCTAAATAGCAGTCCACTCTAAAAACAAATCGTGGCTTGTCCGGGACTAATGAGCAGATACAACTGGACTCTGCATGGATTATTAACATGGAAATTGGAGATGTTTTTTTCCTATGTCAGGATAGTGAGTCCTAAATCTCTGCCTTTTGTCCGGAATTGTTAATTTACAACATTTGTCCTGGACATGATAAGCTGTTCCATTTGTCAATAGAACTTGTTCTCATAAAAAGGGTTTTTCCTTCTCAATGAGTGGCATAATTTTTTACTGACAGAAGCACAAGCATTTGAAGCAATAGTTTTCAGATTTGTTTTGTGTGGAATAAGAGGTTCCAGGGAAACAGCAAGATTTACTGTTGGAAATGCTTATGGTGCGTTTATAGATATGTGCAACTATCATTTTCCTAGTCTTGCTGCCAAATGTCTGAGAGGCCTGTTTCTAAATGTTATTATGATGAAAAGACTTCGGTAAATTTCATACATTGTTCTACAAATACCCATTTTCTAGCTCAGTTGTGAATTGTGTAAAGGTCTTTAGGGTAAAACAAACAAACCAGTATATGGAAGGTTGGGACAAATTGAACATCATTTGTCCACTAGATGGAAACAGAAGCAGTGTATATATATGCATGGGTTTTTTCTGTATTCAACTGAATGTTTTTACCTCCTGTCTTCACATGAGAGGGAGTAAATAAAGTAATTTTTATGATTGCAGTTCAAGTCAAGAATGAATTGGACAGCAGAGTATAGCTGAAGTGGACTAAAAATGCATAAAAGAACTGAAGTAAGGGAGAGGAGGGGTAAGAATAAGAATAACGATTCGAGGAAAGTGAAAATCAGGGACACTGAAAATACTGTATAAATGAAAGCTGCAAAATGCTGGCTCATTAAGAAGATGGCAGAATATGTAAGATTGTTTTGATTTTCTGTTTGTCAGAGTTTATTCATTCTTTATTCCTTTGCAGCAGGGGAAAAATGATCTTGAGTCTTTCAATTTGTCTGGAGTGATTATGTTTAAGAAAGCCTTGATTTATAAAAGCCCTAGCAGTTCTCACCACATCTCCAGATATTACTGTTTTCATTCAAAGTTGAACTTCTGATGCCTGCTTTAAAACTGAAGAACCACAGCCTTCTTAGTTAGCAGTTAATCATCTCTTCTGTACGTCCCCTTTCCAGTCATAGAATCCTTCAGTCACAGAATAATTTAAATCAGAAGAAAACTCTTCTCTAGTCCACCCATCTGCTGAAAGCAGGGCTGAGTTTGAACTTAGATCATGTTGCTCAGGGCTTTGTCAAGTTTTGAATGTTCAACAAACTGTCTGGCAAACCTATTCTGGTCATTGACCACCATGACTGTGGGGCAAAAAAAGACATTTTTGTGTCTAACCAGAATTTCCATTACAGCGATTTTTTCACCACCTTCACCAGTTCCAAAACTCCCATGGTCTCCACAGCTGAAGCTGCTGTACACCTTCACATCCTCCACCAGCTCTTCCTTAACTGAAGGTCCTGCAAAGCATTTCCTTCGGTTGCACTTCCCAGTGTCTGGATTTAAAAAATGTCACTGATAGAATCAGTTCACCTGAGTTACAAAAGTAAATATGGAAATTTTCAACACCTGTACCTTATAGGTGCTTTGGAGATAGATTGACAGTAACACAAGAATGACAGGCATGCTTCAACCATGACTGAGCTCATCATAAAGCAGATGTCCATCTGATTTTACATATTGCCTTTTTCTCTCCACTCATTGTAAAGGCTGCTGACTGTGCTGTATACATCATGGGTGTCTAAAACTGAATTCAGTTAGTCACACCTTTGCTGTGTCACACCACATCTCTCTGTAAATCGTGGGTATCAGAATCCTGCAAGATGAAATGCAAACTTACTGAATGTGATAGTTGCTGTACTCTGAAGAACCTGTCCTATGTGGGGATGTCATTGTGGCATTAGCAGCACCATATTTACCATTTAACATTGGCAAGAACATACTTTAATTTACTGTAACACTTTTATTGGTACTAAATATCTAGTTAGTTTGCTCCAAAATGTTTGCAAATTAGACTAATGTAGGTTATAATTGCTTTCTTGTCTGCTCTGCACATCTCCTGACAAGTTGATAATATTATCTGCTGTTTCTGTTCCACAGTGCCACACTATAGTTTTTGGCTGAATTAAGCAATTGTTCAGTCTGTGGAAGCCTAGACAGAGTTTTTAAAACTGTTAATAGAAAAGGTTGATCATGGACAGGTATGTGGAAAAATGGCAGTCTGACTGGAAGTTCAAAGGAAAGGCAAAAAAAGTAATTTCCCAGCATCCTGGGAAGAAACCTGAATGTGCACAGATATACTGGCCTTCTGTAGATGGTTCACACGCTCTTTTCTTTCTGTTTGGCTGTGTACAAAAATTAATAGGAATAGAGTGAAAAGGTGTTTCTAACTTGCAGACTTCCTTTCCCTGCCAAAGAGCGTCATTCTCCAACCAGCCTAAATATCCCTCCTTAATTAGTAACAGATGCAGCAGTACGTGCACAAGCGTTGTGTCAAGAGGACATTTGGAAATCATAGCAGAAGGTGCTGTGCCAGATAGGAAAGGAGTATGTGAAGCTGAAGCAGGGAGTTGTTAGGAGAGTTCAACAGTTGTTTTTTAAAGATAGGGAGGGAAATGGGGTAGCTGTTACGGGTTTTTAGGTAATGTTGCACATGACCCCCTCTTCTCTTCACTGGCAGTCTTTATCTATTACTTAGATTTGTCAAAAATGCATAGGAGTTAGAAGAAATGCCTCCATGACTGATCCTCAAAATTATGCTTAAAACTTTTAAGCATTTTCCTCCTGTCTACAAATGGAGAAGTTTTAGAGAAGTTTAATGTCTGTATTTTCTTTTCCCCTTTTCTCCTGCTATCACATTGTTGTGTATGGGAGGCAGACCAGGTGCAAAGATATTAATGACTGTACCGATACACACAGAAGAAACAAAAAACATAGCAGCACACAAAATTAAGCAAAAAAAATTTTCTATCCCTTCTTTTTGCAGTGCTGTTACTATATTGCTGGTATTTTTATTACTTCTGATGATGTTAAGAGTAGAGTAATTGACATATATATTTAATAGAAATTGTTATTAGGCCTTTAAATATACTTGCACCAATCTCAACATACTTAGCCCCTCAATTCCAAATAATCATTTCGAAAACTTTTGGGGTTTGGTTTGGTTTGGTTTGGTTTGGTTTGGTTCAGTGGTCTTTTGTTGTTGTTGTTGTTTTTGTTCTATTATGGGGTTTTTTTGTGGTGGTTGTGGTTTTATAATTATTTTAGAATAGTACACTTATAAATATATGGAGTTATATTGCAAAGTTTCTGCAAGTCTCACTCCAACATCATGCCTACAGTCCGTTATATACCAAATAGATATAATTTATAAATAACTGGTGTTTTCAGTGAATTTTTATACCAGACTTTGTAGACTAATCCAAAATACTTAATTTAAAAATTTATTATTGTGAAAGAGATTTAAATGTGTTTTTAAATAAAGTTGGAAATGTAGGATCATGAATGAGTGTTGAAGTGCAGAGCCTCCTGGCCCATAATGGCATGACCAAGAGGATAGAGTGGCATCTCTGGTGCCATATGGATAAAGAATGTCAGGCAGTATTGATGCATCTCAGGTGTCCACTGCCCCTTCTGAAATACTCTGTGGAGAAAGGATGCTTCCAGGGAACCTGGACTTGAATTTCCCCAAAGCCATTAGCAGTGGTTTTGGTATTAGGAATATGGGAATGAGGTTGGCAGCCCTGCTGCTTGCAGTGGCAGGCGTTGT